ACAGCTGCTTGCAGAAGAGCCCTCGCCAAGGCACGTCAGGATGCATCTCTACGAACTGACGGACGAAGTCCAGAGGTTTATTAAACAACCTCTGGACCCGTCAACTTACCTGAACGGTATTCACAGGGGATCAGTCTCGAGTTATGTAGACTCCCGCCCTGTGAATGCCGTTCTAGGCACACAACCACCGGACGTGGATGGGACAGAACTTTGTCTGCCTCGGGAGACCCGCACTACAATAGCCCAACTTCGCTCTGGCTATGGCAGCAGGCTAAACTCTTGCCTGAGCAGAATCAATGAGGATGTGTCTAACCAATGCCCGGAATGTGGAGAGTCGCCACTAGACTCTCGGCACCTCTTCACATGCCCTGAGAACCCCACTCAGCTGACGTCCCAGTCCCTATGGACAGCTCCGGTGGAAGTCGCACTCTTCCTGAGCCTCCCCTTAGCTGAAACAGACGACAACGTTGACGGATGAACCGACCCGAGCGGGGCTTGATAACCGCTACAACAACAGCGAGTATTTTTGTATTTCGTACAACTTCCATAAAAAGCCTTTTTGCAGAGACTGGCTTACCAACAATTGAAGAAAGAGTACATCAAATTCACGCGAGACTAATTCCAAAACTCGTTTTTCCATCTAGCTCCGTCATCATCAAAAATGCAAACCACGCCACAAGTCTTCCAAGTCTTATTGTGCTATGCATCGAATCGCCAAGGAGCTGGAGTTATCCAACCCTCCATGGGAGGTCAAGAAAGTATGGCTGACTTCCAAAACGTACCAATATAATGTTCGGATACTCTTCTACTGCGGTATTTAAAATGTTTATAAATTCAGAGTTGCGAAACATTGCAACCATATAAATTGCATATTTTGAATATTTAATAAAACAATACTAACGGCTAACGGCATTTGGAAAACGCAGATAAAACAATTCTCCCGTCTACGTCTTGGCCATACTATAGACACCCACGAACACCTACTGACCGGCGAGCCACCCCCTGTCTGTTGACACTGCGGTTAAACTCTCCTTAAACCACAAATTTCGAGACTGCTCCGTTTTAGTATTCGCCAGAAATCACTACCAGAAAAAACTGGATTGAACTTCTAAAAACCCCACTAAGGAGAATATAAACTTAAACCACCTAGTTTTAGTATACAAGTAAAGCATAAAACGTATTACTGAACAACATACTAGTCATACTGTATTAACATAATTTTGTAGGGCTGATGGCCCTGGCAGCTAATGCTCGTTCGATATTAACGTATTAATTTAGTTAGTTTGTTAATAAATAATAATAATAATTATAATAGATTTCCGCCCCTATTGTGAGTGTCGACTGGCAGTAGAATAGAAATTTGTCGATTGAGTTGATTATCTTTTTTTTTGCTATTGTGTAACTTGATCGATAAAAATTTGTACTATTGTGAATGGTTGACTGAATTGTAAACAGCTGTTTGTTTGTTTACATTTTTTTCTTTAGTGTTTCATTTACATCATTTTTAAAATAATTGCTTTTATTATAAAATTAAAAAAATGGATGCAGTTGAAATATGGTTTAGTGATGAGGAAGATGATGTGGATGCTAATAGATTAGTAGAGTTGGCTAAAGCAAGGACGAAATTGTTAGATTCGTCGAATCCCTTGGAGTTGGAAGATGGAGTGTATGTACATATGTGAATTTTATGAAAGTAGTTGCGTTCCAGATGCTTCACGGTTTGCAAGATTAGCAGGAAAAGCTGTTTTCGCCATTAATAAACTTTATGGAAGGAGGCCACCTGGAACAGCTTCCTATAAAAACCTGCAAATCGGCAAGCATCTGGAACGCAACAAGTTTAAGAAATACGGTACGGTTTAGTTATTTGTACAATGATGTAGGGTAGTTGTGTCCAAATGCGTGACCCGATTTCAAAAACTTTAACATACACGTGTAGTGAAATAAATAAACTTTAATTTAAAATAATAATTTCAAATTTCCGAGCACTAGTTAATAAATTATACAGTTTTTCGTAAATTTTAATGTTGGTTCTGCGAAAAAACAGTATGAATGGCGTAACCGGAGCTATATTCACAACAAATGTTGTATATCTTTCACAATAGAAGCGGAGCTTCCGTCCCTCTTCTCACGCAGCTCTGCATAATATATTTTTTATGATGCTGAATTTTCGGATGAAGAAATCAACAATAATAGAGACCAAGAAAACCATTATGGAGTTCAGGATAGCATAGCTGTTGAAACTGGGCATATAAATGACGAAGTCGTAGAAATAAGAAATACCATTTTATAACAAATGCAACTTCAGTCTTAAGTCTTGTTTATTATTTGTACTATTCATTTCAGTTTCGGTTCTATTCATTTTTTATCACTGAATGTTTTAAATAAAATTAAAAGTTATAACTTAAAAAAACTTGTATTCATCTATAAAGCTTAAGTCAAGATTTTGGTTTAATTCAAAATCACATAATTCAGGTCCAGGTTGACTTCAAGCTTAAAGTAAATAATTTAAATTTATCCTTATATTATTGAGTTCAGATTTTCTTTTTGAAACTCCAACAGCTGCACTTGTAATTTCAGTTTCTCTACCCTATTTTTGCTTTTATTTACAACATATTTAAGAAGTTTTAGCATTTCCTTTTTTAAGTTAAGTTTTTTGTTTTGTAAGTTAAGTTTTTCTTTTCCTAAGTTCAGTTTTTTTTTAAGTCTGTATGACTTTCTTGTAGATGTTATTTTATTTAACTTTACCCTTATTTGTAGGAGTAAATCAATAAATAGAGCCCAGTCTGAAATGCTGCTAGACAAAATGCTTCAAAAACCCGACATTTCAAGAGGTTTTGCAAAAGAAAATCGCGACAAAGTGGCCGAGTTCTGGAGACAGCTAACATTGTCTTTAAATAGCGTTGGCACACCTGTTAAGAGTGAATTTGAGTGGAAAAAGGTAAACTTGCCTATAGCTATAGTTGTTTATTATACCAAAGTATTTATTAACTAGGTGTGGACTGACCAGAAACGCTATGTACGGAAGAAGGCTTCACAAGATAAAATGTACGAAAGGGGGACAGGAGGCGGACCTAACAAAACGCAAAAATTTTCTAGTGCAGAAGAGGCAATATTCCAACTCCTGGGGATGAAGGAATCGGTTGATGGTATTGAAAGCTCGCAATGCTATGGACTGCCTTCAAAAAGAGTTAAGGTTAATTCGGACGCAGAAGTTTTGTCGGAAATCATTGTGCAGTGCGAAGAAGCTCCTGGCTGTAGCACCGATTTTCCTACAAGCATCCAGGATAGCGAACCTCCTGTTCCTCAGTGCCAAAGCGAGTGTTCACCAAAGGATAGCAGCAAGCAGGGAGTTCTGCAAAGTAGCCAAAATACTAATAGTACAATTAAATCAAAAAAAAACTAACAAGTACCGAGTTGGTTGTACAAGAGCTGGAAACACAACAAGAATTGTGTGGTAAAGTAGGCGAAACTTTATTAGAGATGAAGTCACACCAAGGTACATTGAACAGGTAGTATCAGTAGAGCAGCTGATTTGATTTTTTTTTACTTGTCTCTCGATATACCTAAAGCTATCTTTCATTTCATTCGAGTTCGCTTCCATCATTTCAAAGTGTTTTGATGGAATTTCTACTTGTTTTTCAAGCAACGCCAATCTTTTATTATTTCGAGCACAGTTCGTTCTTCTTTACCTTGAAATGCGCTGTGGTTCCAGAATTTCGGACTCCTGGGTTCCGCACGTTACAGAATCTTACAAAGCTATCTGTATTGTATCACTAGCTAAGATTTCCTGGTCATAAGTGATTTCCGCCGATTGATCTCGTGAAATACTGATTCCGACCTCTTCACCTGGAGGATTGACACAAACATCGTATTGTAAAAAATTCACCACAGCTTCCTCCAGCGGTGTAAGTGTATGGAGATTGTTTGGGCCCCCCGCCAGTTGCTCGAAATTCTCTATATTCAGATATTTTCTTTTTTGTTTAAATTTTTAAATCTGTCCAAATCTACATCAAACTATGCCACATTATTTTATTAATTACAGCTCGTATCATAATTTATTTTACCTTTAACCACTTTTCCTACGAACGCATTGGTGGCCCCAAGCTGTTGAGTTCCACTGAAATGGCTTCCCATCTTGGTTTTGCCCGAGACCAGTGTTGCCAGAACTTTTTGGACGAACCGGCTAAATTGGCAAATAAAACCGGCTAAAATGTTTCAACTAAATTTCACATGTTTTATTTAAATAAATCACGAGTAAAAATACTGTTTCTTGGAGAGAAGTTACAAATTCTAGCCGGGAAAAATTTTGACAGCAAGACTTTGCAATTAGGAAAAACATATGATTGTGGCACATGGTTGTATTTTTTGTCGACGATAATTTGAATAAACAAGTTCGTTAAATTTAAAAATTTACAAACTGGAGCGATTTTAAAATGAAAAATGTAAGTTAATACTTGTTTACTTAATTAATTTAGTTAATTCCAATGCTTTGAAAGGTACTCGGCAAAAAAAACTGTATTCTCAATCGAAATGCAATCTCAGCCAGAGTCGATAAAGTAAACCCGACAAAGAAATTGACGCGTATGTTGAAGAAAGTCGGACTGACAAGATATATACACGTAGATCCTGTTTTTTGCCCCTCTGAAAGAATTTTAAAAATTCGATACAAATTTCTTTTGTTTGAAATGCAACCGTGGACACTAGCTGGCAGAAAAACTTGCAAATTTGCGTTCGTACAGAAAATTGCAAGTTTCTCTACGTGAGAGAGAATTTTCCTTACTATCTGATATTTTGAGTGATAATTCTCGCTGGATTTTCGACGAACAAACCTATTATCTTCCCTACAAGGCCTTTTCAGACTGACCGATTCTCAATACACTCAAATAGAAACCAATACACATAAAAAACGCTATAAAAATTTCCCTTTAATTTTAAGGCACTAAAACAACGACCTTAAGTTAACATCAACCGAGGCCATATGTTGACAAGGCATGCAAAATCACAGTTACACAAAAGAACTGGTGAGATTTTTCAGAAATCCCTTCAATACTGATGTAAAATATGATGCCAAAAGACTGCAGATCTCCCATTTATATGACCGTTCATATGACCGGCGGATGTCTCGTAGGATTCCCAGAGAGTTTTGCTTTACATAGAAATGTACATAGTGCTTGAAAATATCAATTTTTCCCTTACCTTAAACTTTTGGGAGTGGGCAAAAATGATGTTTTGTAATTTAGGCAGAATTGAATATGCGCTATCTGGGAAGACAATCACCCTTATCGGGACTTTTATTTTCTCCCGAAAATTTTCAACTTTTTTGCTCGCCTTATTGGCAACTCTTTTTTCGGGTGAAATGAACAAGTGGAACGCGCAAAATTATTCACATTTGTTTTGCAGGCGAACAAGGCAGACAGAAAATGTAAGTATTTTTTAGGGTAATTCTCTAGGGGGGGGG